ACTGGCATTGACTACTGCCAAGCTCAGAACTCTTAAAAAAAAAAATACAGCTGAGCTGGTAAGAGCAAATTAAAATTGAAATTATTTTCCCTCTCCTATGCTCATCACAAATCATGTTTCGAGTGGTTCATTTTAAGGTATTAAAGTAAAACAGCTAGTATGAAAATAATAGAATAAAATTTCTCCCTAAATTTTCAAGCTTCATATTGGAGGAAACACATAAACATTCTAGGGAGCAACACTCTAAAGCAATTAATAGACTTTTTAAAAAAATTAATAATTGTAGAACGTTATCAGTGTGCACAGCTTCTCCTAACGACATTCAAATATAACAACTCTATGTAATTACCGTCCTACATTAATGCAGTTCTCATGGGGTGCCATAAAAAACCTGCACAAGCATCAACAAGGAGACTGGAGGACAGAGGGGTAGGAACAGAGCCCAGCCAGAAATACGCAGTGGAACTTAATCACTGTAATTTAGATTGTGTCACCGAGTCCCAGGTACAAGCTCTTTTATGCACTGTCAAGAGATCTCCACATTAATTGCTGTTCCTGTCTTCTGAGGACACAAACACTCTAATTTGCCGTGATGTAAGTTTCTCTAGCAATGTACACTTGGAGGCTAAGTCCCTTTTCCTCCAGCAAAGGCAGGCTGCTAAAGCTTTGATTATCTAACTCGCTCTGCCAAGATCAACAGACTGAAGTCACATAGCACTCCGTTCACCAGTCGAGAGACGAATGTGAGTCAACCTATCAGTGGGTGGGAAGACCTGCCACCCTCTCTGAAAGGCCACATTCTTCTCTTCTCTAGTACATCTGACTTTCAAAAGAAGGGCTCTTCCTAAGTGATGATTTCAATGATTTTCTACATGGCCAGTTTGAAGCAGAACATTTAGATAATCCTTTGAGGCCTTCAGACAGCTCCAGTCAGCACATTCAGATAATGCAAACCCAGGTGCTTACTTTTTGGAGGGCTTTATGGATCCTTTGGGATTTGTTAGGTATTAATAACACCACAGCTCCATGGTTTGTGTTTGGCCTTCAGGGGCCCATCTCTTTCTAGCCTCAATCTACGGTGATGCCATGCTAGACAAGACCTCTATAGCCAGCTTTCTTCTGCCATCAAATTAGAACAGAACTGTATCTTCAGATGGACTATTATTCTTTAAAAAATCAAAAACCAAAAACAGGTATTCTGCTTTAAAGAACTGAAATCCAGGGGCCAGAAGGTAGTGTAGTGGTTAAAGCACTGGACTCCCATATGGCTGACTGCAGTTTGAGTCCCAGACCCGGTGGCTTCAAATTTGCACCAGGTGCATGTGTGAATGTGCCCAAAATCCCAAGAGGAGAATGAAGGAGAAGGGGTTGTGGTGTGGCTATTTCCCATGCCCCTGGGAGTGATTCCTCACTTTCTCTGTTTCTCCAGCAAGCATGCACAAGACCTATCGCAAAAAAAAAAAAAAAAAAAAAAAAAAGGGACTGAAACCCAAAGAGTCAAGCTAAACTTAGAAGCCATAAACATTTATGGGCTGCAGAAATGGATTATTATCTGTTGATGATAGCAGGTTTTGTATCCTCTACTGGACTGGTGGGAAGTGTATTCATGTAGGATGAATTCAATTTACAAGCTAAGTGATATATAGTGATTAAATGTATAAAATAAAGTAAAATTGGCCAACGCGATTCTGATCTGAAGAATGTTCTAGGTCAATGCACAGCCCATAGCTAATGAGATGGTGAGATATGCCAAAAAGAAGCAAGCATGCGTCAAGCTTCTGTGTCTGCATTATTATGGCATTTGATGTCCAGCGGTTTTACTTTTCCAGATACATCCCTTATTCCACCTGAATCAAACCTTCTATTTTCTGAATCTTGGAATGGATAGTAATGAACGCTTGGTACTCAAGAATTCTAAGATGACCAATTTCACTTTTTTCTTGAGGGGGGTTTCCAGTCCCATTACAATAACGTAAAATTCTACAATATGGCAGTGGTGAAAAATAAATAAATAAAACTTGTGAAGTGCTTTATACTCCAGGGTCTAGAACAGTTTTTTTAAAAAAGGAAGCTTAGTAATCTTATCAGTTAAGAATGTAGACACAGTGAGATCACTGAATACTTAACTGACGAAGTTACACGAATCCAAATGAAGTAGAAACTGTCCTCTCTCATTAAGGCTATCTGTGGTTTACTGACAGATGATATGCCTGAACTCTCATTTGAAAAATAAAGCTAAATTAAGCCTCTTTGCTCTCTGTCTTTAGAGCATGATAACAGAAGACAGCAAGGTCAGATACGGTTGTGCAAGCTGATCAATGGCGGA